ACTAAACTAACTTGACATACCACATTACAATAAACGATGGTAACATACGTTTGCTGGTGACGTCTGCGTTGATTTAATGAAACAAAAATATCTCAAACGCCTGTAGATGTGAAAACATTACAGGTACGTTTTCAGGCGTCTCAAAATATAACAACGTTCAGCCCCAGCTCCCAACTTTGACTAGCGTGAGAGCCGTCGAGAAATTCTTCAAATTCTTCTTGACGGCTTTCTTTTGCTAAATTTCTTTTGTCTTTTCACGCCATGTGAAATTCCCACGGGCGTGACTCCCTGCAAACCTCTCTTCACCTAGTGTTACTCAAGGCCCAAAACTTATTCGTGGGTGAAGAAACGCTCGTATTGAGGGGCTCGTAACGAGGGCTTGCTATTCAACTCCGAACAGTGTGTGGAATTTGCGCCGGAAAAATTGTAATGAGTTAAAATCATCAGTTTGGTAATCAAAGAGATTTATTTCTTCTTTGATCTGCTGGGATCCTGAGCAGATCGTATTTAATGAGAAGGGTCAACTAATGCTTCAGGAGCATATCGAGGGGATTCCCCCGCATACAACAAAGCACGAAATACCAATAAATTTTCTAAAAAACATTATCATGGTCGAATAATAATTCAGGAAGCTAGTTAACATGGCTTGACAGAACCGTGGTCGACCATTTGGCGCCTTAATTCGAAGACAATTTACGAACGGTTGGATTACCTTTGAAACCCATCCGGTTATCTAACGAATTCCTATTTGTTTTAAAACAACTGGAAGCGATTGAGTAGGAGGGCTTTGAGCCTCAATACTTTCTTTGTAGTAATTAACAACCAATCAGCACCTTTTCTGGCCAAAGAAGATCACGTCTAAATATAACTCGTGTCGTCAAACTGACTTATTCATAACACTTAGATTACAGCATCTTTTAGTCTCCGCAGCAGATATGTGGAGGATGAAGTTTGGACTAATTTTGCTGTTTGTTTTCGGTCATTTTTTCATCATTGACGCCCTTGTGCTTCCGAATTTTTATCCCTTTGGTCAGGATGAGAGCGATCAGCTGGTTCCTACAAATGACGATGGGAGCTCTGGAACGATACCGATATCGATTCCATTTCCTTTCTTCGACTGGAATCACAATTCTTTATTTGTAAGTATAACATTTTTGTCACTGATCACGCCAACTGATGGATAAGTTCAAGGAAAAACTCATGTTGAGCCTGTGCGGCAATCCGAAGGCGAACTGGAATGACTTCCCTTTTGTGGCTTCTGCCATCTGCATGAATACGTTTCAATCAGTTAAAAGCCTCAAGTTAACTTTGTAGTTTCATCTCGATCAATTGGAAAAACAAGGAAAACCTTAAATCAGAAAAAGAAAAACAGGAACAGACAAGAACAAGCAAACAGATATCGTTTCAAAGAAAAAGAAATTTGAATTCAGTTTCCGGTTCTAACCGTTCGTAGTTCGGTGCCATCTATTTATTCATAATAAATCTTTTATGCCAGACATGGTGAACAAAAAAATGAATCAATAGAGGCAAGAGAGGTCAAGCCATCATATTGTCCGCAGCAGCCCTGTATGCGGGAATTTAATTTTCACTTTCGATTGACGAATTGTCACTTTCTAAATTAACTCACAGGAAGTGGAGGGGTTACGGCTTCTGGTGAATATTTGATTATATAGGAGGTAAACCGACCGTGAACTGCTTGGTCTTATTTTGCATATGTTTTGATATTCATAAACAAGAGTACGATACATGTATAACTGTAAGGTTTCCCATATCTTAGCACAGGCAATCCCTTGTGTCAGTGGGGTGACATCAAAGGATGGAAAATAGCAATGAAGTGAATCCCTGTACACCGGAATAAAAAATCCATTAAGAATGAGATCTATTTTGAGCCTACTCTAATCTTATCTTATTTATTTTAGGACTTTGTACTCGAATGCTTTTAATCAACTTCTATCCAAAGGTGAACATTTGGGTCACTAAAACAACTCGAAGTTTTAGCTTTAACCCGTTTTTGCACTTGAAAACGCGGCCTGTTCAACATTATAAATTTTTCTTCAAGTTCTTTAGGGTTTACGTCGGAGTATAAACCTGCGAAGCTTTTTGGTTTTTTGTCACTGCAATTTTATCACAAGCTCCATTGTTTTAACTTGTCTGTTTTCTTAGTTCTTCGTCGCGCGTGGAAGTAAAACGGTTCTTACCTCTACTATGAGTATATGCAATGCAAATATGAAGGCTTTAAACGGATTTCGAAAGTCACATAATTGTTATGTGTTCTCCTCTGTCGAACGCAACTATGATATCAGGGAATATGTAGTTCCTTCAGTTTTCCGTCTTCCATTTTATCGATTATTTAAGTTAGAGGAAGGTTAACTGTTTAATTTTTAGCACCGCTGACCGAAAATTGGTGACCCTAGGTCAACACCAATGGCGTAATTTCTTTTCTGGTCCAAGTTTCACAATACACACCGGTCCCATTTCCTCTGGGAGATGATCGTCGACTTGTGGCACCATTTTGGGCTGATGTTGATACAAGAAATGGAGGAGAAGTATTCTACCGAGAGACCACAGATCCTAATCAGCTTCAACAAGCTACTAATGACATCAGAAGCGCCTATGTGGATCACAGAAAATTTCGGGCTTCGTGGTTATTAATTGCAACGTGGTACGAGGTGGCTTTCTATGGTGCAGACGGGGATAACAGAAATAAAGTAAGGAAAACATAAATAAAAGAAAATGCCTTAGACTTCTCTTGCTTTAAATAATGAACACAAGATAAATTATCTTTTTGATCAGTATGGCCCAAATTGCCCTAGTTCAAAGGGTAGATATCCCTATTTCCTGAAGAAAATGCCATCCAGAACAGTGATTTATCTTTCGAATAAAATTATCCGAAGAATGTTCAAGGTATTTATATTTCCAGTCCTAGATCCTCCCATTCTTCTGGTCCTCCTCAACGCATGAAAATAAGCCCGCTGACCCACAACGAAAAGCAGTTGCAAAAGGCAATGACGTCAAGTGTGCGGAAATTCGTAACTGTGATCCTTCCCCTATCTCTGTCAAAAATCCCAGATGCAAACTATGTTTGAGTGTCAACGTTTTGCTGGGTACAGTTCTACGGTGCTGCGTAGCGCTTCGAGTATTTTGATTATAGTTTGTTACCTACTTTTCAGAGAAACACTTTCCAGGCTGTTCTAATAACTAATGGTAAACATTCCTTTGTAATTTTGAACTACAACAAAATCACTTGGACCACGGGTAAAGCCAGTGGCGGAAACGAAACTGGGCGTGGAGGAAGACCAGCGCAGGTATATGGAACTAGTACATAACCGAAATATTACTCTAGAATTAGTAGAACTAGAATTCCTTTTCCCGCAAAGGGAAAAGGTTTCAGACTTAAATGTATACTGCAAACCCTCTATATTTCTTTTTAACCATAGAGCAATCTGATTCAACAGCGAGGAGAAGACTGGTTAGGGCTTTTCATCCGTAGACCTTTAATACGAATAATCTCGCTTTTACCAGTTTTACACAGAGGGCAGTATTTCGTTCTCGAGATAATTTTGGCAATTTGTTGACGAAAGTAAAAGAGGGACATAAAATAAGTAGTCGGGGCGTAAGGAAGGAAAGAAAGACTTTTGTTATAGTTTTGAAACTAATTCTATGCCTGTCTATCAAAATTAGCTTCAAAGAGTTTCTTTTTTTTTTTTTTTGTACTATCTGTTCCTATCTATTTTTAAACTAGAAAGGCAAAGAGCAACAACAGAAAGCTCACAATTTTTTTCCATAATTAGAAACACCTCCACTGAGATCACTGGAAGCGAAATCCAGAATTGGCCATAAAGTTATTTTCTTGCTCAAGAGGGAGTGTCCATCCCTATCGTAAATAGCGACGGTTTTTTTTTTTTTTTTTGTATAAAGTTTTGTAATATGTATTTTAGTATAATTTTCCGTAAGCTTTAAAGTTGGCCACTTTATTTCTATCCTTTTATCAGGCAGGCTTTAATGCTGGTGATGGCATAAGGCATTTTAACATACCGGGGTCTTCCACAGCCCAAGTTATCCATATTGGTTCCAAGTCTAATGTGAAAAAGCCTGGACGATGGATATTCCGTATTGACAGTGCTAAGATCGAGGCAGGTGGCTGCAACACGCGAGGTAACAGAAACCCCGCTGATGCGATCTATTACTGGGTGACCTGAGTCAGGTTTCCCTAGTTCTTAATCTACCTTAAGCTATCCTCACCCATTACTTCAAAACTAAGAAATCGCCATGTCGTCCTTGAGGGGGGCGAAGAATTACTCCTCATGGGTTCAGAATTAAATCAAGTACACCATATTATGAGCATTTCTATGTAAGTATTTCTAGTGATACTATTCATGGTAGGTGGCTTAAATCGAATTTCTCATAGGATCTCTTGTCGTGTCACCTCTCTCTGTAATGATGCTGGGAGGTGATAAAATCTTCATCGCTGGACCTTGCTATGAACCATCGGATCTGATCGTTTGTGAATTCCCAGGAGGAAAACTGGTCAATGGAAGCTACATAAACAGCATACAGGCATCTTGCACCGTGCCTATGCTAGATGTAACTGGCAGGTTGCAGATCACAATGTCTGTTAATGGTGGAAAAAGTTTCGATTTTAAAGGGATATTAACATCAGGTTAGGTTGAATTTCATTACTTTCTGTGACATTACAATTACACGTATTTTACTTCTTCGGTAAAGTACAAACTTGAGAAAATGCGACCAATCAGTTTCAAACAACCTCTGAAAAACGTTCGATTACGAATCAAACTATTACTATTTGTAAAGTTTATTTTTCCCGCAGTGAACATCAATAGGCTCACACCTCGCGTTGTTCGCCTGATTCCGGAGACATGGGTTGAAAACTCTCCTGTTAAGATCTCATGGGATCCAGGTCTCCTCGGAGATGACACCCTCACCGTGGCTATACTTCTGGCTCGTTTCTCCATGAAGGATGATGATGTTTACTTTCATAGCACGTTCTCGTTAAAAGCAAAACAGAAAAATATCGGAGAAAGTCAATTCACTGTGCCAAAAGGCGAGGGACAGGGGTAAGCAGAAAAGAAGCGTGCGAGTGGCGGTTAGATCAAATAATAATGATAATGATGAAAATAATAAATGATAATGTTTAATCATAATAACAATATTTTATATCATATACTCAACATCATCCAAACGAAAAAAAAAAACTCCACAGACTGCACCAAGATTCCTAACCTTGATAGGATAACATTTGTTTCGTTTGAATTGTTTGTTTTTATATTTTTGTCAGAATTATATTTTTTTAACCAGCAGAGCAGATAGAAGGGTTGACCTCGAAAAGGCATGAGCCCCAGTGAGCGCTGCACTTGAGCACAGTTGAAATAGTAGACCCCATACACAGGCGGTATTGACTTCAACGTAAGGCTTATGAATGATTTTATCGTAACGTTTCGTTCTCACAAATCCTCAGAGTCGCAGTTGGGGATGGTCACTTTGTTACACTAGTGCAAGTGAAAAAGATTTCCGGCAATTCTAACAATTCTCCATCCGAGTGGATCTGGAGCGATCTGTTTTACTGGTTAAACTACGGGCTGGCCGAGCAAAGATGCATGTTCTGGTATAAAAAACAGCCGAATCCAAAAATATTTACAGGTAAAAGAGGGGGGAGGGGGGAGAGAATCGACAGAATCGGTGCCCTAGATAATAAACGAGCGATATTGGGTGACCCAGATATTTTATAGGAGAATAGACGTGATTGCACACTTAACCCTAAGCACAAAGAGCAACTTATAGACATGGAACACTACTCTTATTTACCATTGTTCCCAATCGATAGAATGGTCAATATCCAAAGGAGTCGTCACACAGCAATTGATTTTACCTTTTAATCTCACGTTGGAATGAACTACGAAGTCTCAAACAATCTTTTTCTTCCTTCGTCTCATACGTGTCAAAAGTGCGCCCGCGAAACAACAAAGCGGTAAATTCGTCAAAATCACCGGGGCAACGAGTTAATCATTAAATGGCTAAATAGTTACAATTTTTTGATTATTAACAACCATCAACACAAGAAAGGCGATGATAAACGTTCAAGTTCCTTTGTAACAGATAAACATCCTTTTTTCTTTTTTTTGGGTTATTCTGTGCCATGGCAGATGATGCTTCCCTACTGCCTTGCCCTCAAACGTTTCTTCAAGCAATGGCGGACCGCGGTCGATTCACGACGGACGAATATTGCAATCCAAAAACAGAGAATCATTGCGTTGTTTATCATTTTGGTGCCAATCACTGCTTCAGGACAAACATCGCAAGGTAAGTGGACATTCGTATCATCAAACCCTTTAGAAAAAGAATTAAATTGTAATTGATGAGAATTAGTAATTAATCAATCATTAATATCGTGTAATACAAAAACATCATTCAAGCTATGCATTTGCTTCGCCACCTTAGTTTGTTTTCAATAAATTCACTTTCCAGCGCTCAAGGTGCTGGACAGCAGTGTTGTTACACTGAACCTGGAAACTTGATGGCTGGTCAGCCTAATGGAGGATCCATGGATCGGTTTCATATCGAGGCTGGAGTGCCAGGCTTGTCACATTTCTTTCAAGACCTTGTTCCTTATGTGGATTGCTGCCTGCTCTCTGACAATTGTGAACGTTACTTTGATAAAAGGCCTTCAGATGACGGTTCTCGCTACGAACCACCAAGACCAGGTAAATAAAATAAAGGTAAAAGTTTCAAATAAATGTACTCTTGGGTATTTAGTGCTCGTCAAGGGAGACACAATAAATATAAAGTGGCTCTTCAAGTTCTTGAATCTACAAGATTCATTCAGAGTGATTAGATCGACGCTTGGTTTTTACATCTTAATTCAATCGGCAGGGCGGATATAGTTTCGACAATTATTCGATAACTCGTCTCTTTATAATAATAATAATAATAATAATGATAATAATAATAATAATAATAATAATAATAATAATAATATTTAAACAGGAAGCTCTCTCACCCGTAGGTGATCTACAGAGAGGTCCTTATCCAAAATAACATTAAATTGTTAAAAGTAAGTACACAAATTACAGATATTAAAAAGTACAAGAGTAAGCCATAGATTAAAAGATTTAAAAAAATTATTTCTAAACTGACATATACTGCCAGAGTTCTTTAAGTCTATTCGCCTATCTACATGTCTCTATTAATGTAGCAGATGCAGCTTTCTGCTTCATAATCTTTAGTTCAAATCTTTATGACGTACCTCTGGGAGATGAAAGATAATCAGAGAAAGATCTTTATCATATAAACCTCGGTGTTATACAAGGATTTCCAACCCTGAGAAAAGCCGTAACAACACATGTGAAAAAAAAATGCGATAGTTATTCACGTGTGATTGATATCGCCAATCAACTGCTGACACGTCACTCGCCTTTCGCGCCACTCATCTTGTCATAATAAAATGTAGGGCAATCTCAACCCAAGGTTTTCTCGGATTATGGCTGCTAAAACATCAAAAATTTCTTTTCACCATTGTTTGTTTTATAGTGATTCAACTCATTTTTCATATCGAGCCTTACCGCCACCGCACTTTTCGACTTTTTTTCGGGAATCGTGGATCCTTTTTTTTTATTAAACTATAATAGACTTCTTTTTTCAGTGAAGGGCCAGTTTGTCTAAATTATAAACAATACATGATTGCTTGTAGATATGGAGTTTCCCTTATCGTGTCCAACTTGATATGTCACTGGTGAACTATCAAGTTAAACACTCAAAGAGATTCCACACCTAGGCGCGTACAAGTGTTATTCTCTATTTCTTTGGAGATTTTTAAATGTTTTATGCTTCAACACAACAGCTTCATAAAATCTTCAGAACATGGGAAATAGATTAACTATATAGTGATTCACTTTTATAGATGGTCGTATGTTTATATGTTTGTTTGTTTTGTTTGTTTACTTTTTATTGCTATTTCTTACAAAGCTACTGGGAACGGAGATCCCCACATGATTACGCTCGACGGTGTTACATACTCTTTCAATGGTTATGGCGAGTATCATGTCCTCCAGATAGCTCCTACTGACTTCGAGCTTCAGGGACGAATGCAACCTTTAATCAAAGACGATGGTAACCGCACTCGTGCTACAGTCTTTAAAGCGTTTGCGATGAAGGAAAATGCCTCGGATGTTGTACAGGTAGTTCATGCTGTCGGAGTTTAGACGCTTACAGTGAAACTTCAAGTAATAAGAAAATATACATCTCGTTGTTGGACAGGTTGCTGCGATGGGATCATTTACCTACAGGCGAGGTTTACAGGCCAATCTGTTACTGAAGAATTTCAAATTTGCATAGCTGTGGACATTTAATAGTGGTTTTTTTTCTTTTCACTTGAGACAAATATTTAATAAGTTTAGTTTGATTGACTAAAATAGCACATGTTGATAGAATGGAAAAAGTAATGAGATGAAACATCAAATAGCTAAGCATACAACGTGCTAGATAAGGGTCGTGTGCTGGTAAAGTAAAAATAGGCTGATTTCAACGATTTTTCAGAAGGCAGCGTACCTTATGATTGCCTTGAGGATTCATTATTACTCATTATTGCTTTTGTAGGTCCACATCAATGGCCGCCAAGAGATGGAAATTTTGGTTAATAGGGATTTGGTGGAGTTCGATGAACAGTTTATGTTGGACTTTCATGGTGTCACAATAATAAAGTACAACAACACATCTAAATATTCCACCATATTTCACTCTGGAATATCCGTCACAATCGAGAGAGTGGAGGATCTTTTACAGTTTATGCTTCTGGTACCACCACTGTTTAAGGGTATTTTTACACCGTTTTTTTTGGTTTGATTATTACCGATTTCTCATTAGGGACCGTTCTGTTAAGTTGTTCGAAGACTGCGTGGTTCTGTTGAGACATTTATTGCAAAGGGATGATATTGTCACGGAAAAATGTCTAAGAAAGGCGTTTTGGGGGAAATTGGTTTACCTTAATTTCAGTATTAATGTATACAATATTTACATGTATTGTTAGGAAAACTGAGCTGCTTTCTGACCATTACTTTTTTATCAAGCATCCATTGTCTGTAACCTTTTCTTTTTCCCTATTTAGGAAATACAAGTGGTCTTCTAGGATTCTGGGACGGTGATCAACAGAACGACTATTTGTTACCTAATGGAACCACCTTAAGCTATAACTCTTCCCAGTCAAGAATTCATCATGAGTTTGGACAGCTGTGTAAGTTTATGCAGTATACGGAATCATTCCCATTTCTATTTTACGAATGATTCATAGGAGAGCAGACGTCACCATAAACAAAATTATGCTTCTTGATTATATAAAAAAAAAAGAACAATAGTATTTCACGTTTTCACTTGTCTGTTCAGCAATAGGTCACAGACGACGTACGCCTCAATATGCAGTAAGCACAGCAATTGTCTAGGTGACACCATCAGCTGCATCTCGTGGTCGAGGAACGTCAGAGGAATCACTCATACCGTAATATCGTCCGACCTGTACAGTTAATAAAATGAAGAAGCATCTATCTACTTATTTTTATTCATTTTTATAACATAGTCTGTTCGAAAAGAGCATGTGCTGGCATCTAGTGGAATGTGACATGGCCCTTAGTGGTTCGCTGAGGACGTTCAAGACATTACATATTGTTTTTGTCCTAGGGATGACAACCCCAAATGAATCTCTTTTCTATTACGAAGTGGGAAAGAACCATTCGTCTTATATCAATATGGAATTCGTGCCGTTATTTTTGGATCAAGGTGACTTGATGTTTGAGAACGCAACATTGGGCCAGCAGGCTCGGGAAGTGTGTGGTGATAACATGCAATGTCTTTTTGATATTCACACCACTGGAAGAGTCAGCATTGGGGTGGCGACCAAACAGGCTGTGGAATTATTTGCTGCAGTTATCGATGAAACTGAGACACCAGGTGAGTGGCTGGTGTGAACAATGAACTCGTATGGGGATGAAGCAGTGTAATTTATATATGACACTTTCTTAAGAGGGGAGGGGGGGGGGAAACAACAACCTTACCATTCCTTTCTTCACTCTGCCAAATGCCATGCTTTTTTGAAGCCTTAGGCCTCGTCATCATTCCCAGTTGCTCACCCATTTGGTTGATTTGATGGATTTTTTTCGTTATTTGAAAGATTTCGGTTTAGCCAATTTTGATAACATATATACTCATTGTTTCTGTGCAGGTTGCATTCCATTAGAGAACACAATCAGAAATGGCACCTTACAAAGAAATGAAACTAATAATGGCGAAATCATCTACCGATTCCATTGTAACTCTGGTTTCTTCCTGAACGGCTCGTCTGTCATATCTTGTGTGCGGGCACAATGGAATGGTTCAACTCCGAGCTGTCTACCTGGTAAGAGATGTACAGTCATGACCAATGATAGTAAATGCTACATCAAACAAAGAGAGTGAACAACACGGCACATTGTCTAAACCTCAAACAATTGAATTCTAACATTCGGAATGTTCTTACTTAATATCATTTTTATCGATATCTGCCTTTGCTCTTTCAAAAATTTATTGCCTCCTTTTCATGCAATTGTATGCTTGAGCATAGAATATTGCATATGCAGTTATGCTTCAATTCACGGTCTTACATCTTGTATGAGCTACGATAGTTTACAAATGTTTGAAAATGTGGCTGCAGATTGTACCTCGATAACAGACTCATTTGGAGACGGTACCGTGCGGAAAAATTACATGCAAGACGGGGAAGTAGTCTACCAATTTGATTGTAACCCAGGCTTCTCATTAAAAGGCTCGTCTGTTCTATCTTGTTTACACGGGGAGTTGAATGGCTCTAAGCCGAGATGCTACGAGACAGGTCAGGATTTCTCATTTTTCACGTTTTTCCTCTCTTATTTTAAATTTCCGTCCTATCCATCTACGACAGTAGTTCGTTACGAACATAGGTTACCTTTTATAATATATGTTTGTTCTCCCTATTTCTAAAATTTCCTTTCTATCTATTTTCGAAAGATATTCTCTTACATTTTGGTAACTTACTCGACCCTGGAATATAAAAAATTGCTTGGTCTTTGTAAAAAACGGCATTCAGTACCTTCAGCGCACTCAAGCTCACATTGATTGGCTCAAGTAGTATTCGTGGTGTTATCAACGGCCAGTGAAATGGGATTTGGCTGCGATGGCCTTGAAATAGTTTTGCATCTCCATCGTTCTGTATCTCAATTGTTCTGTTTCTCAATATCATCCCTGAAATTTAACTATTGTGCATATTTGCGACTAATGATTTAGACTTGTGTTTTTTTTTTTTTTTTTAAAGCAAGTAATCCTTTTTTTCAGTTGAGAGACATATGATAACGCGGGAATTTTGTCATTTTGTGGTTAGCATCGTTTGACATATAAGTTCAAGTTAGCTTACTCTTAAGCTTTCCTGTAATGAAACTGCTGTTTTCCTCTGCAGATAATGGTACACCATGGTATGTCATCGTTGTTCCTATCGTTGGAGCGGTTATTTTCACAGCGATCATTGCGATCATTTACTTCACCAAAGCGAAGCATAACCAAAGGAATGCTGATCCAGGAGAGAATTGTATGAAAGGTGTCACCTTCAGTAATCCAGCATATGCGTGAAGCACTAAGAAACCTCAGAAAAACCATCTGTTTTCTTGGCTTTGTGATTTGGCAAAATGTTTTAATTCAGTTTTATTAACATCTCTGTTGAGTATTCCGTTCGTGAATGAGACAAGATATCGCGGTAAACGTACCTGGTTTACAACTAGAAAAATGACTCTCTCTTGGTTTAAAAGCAAGAGAATTTTGGCAACGGGTTCTATACTGTAGATTTCGACTTGTTTGTGCCTCGCAGTTTCAAAGTCTTGCGGTACGATATGAGCGACATTTCAACAGTGAACTACGCTTTGACTGTAAGATTTTCTGCTGCAGCAGAAAACCATTAACGTAATATGGTTATTGGTAGAGTTCAACACATTCTGCTCATGTAATTTATTACATTCCTCTGTATTCTTATCAATACTACTGCCCCAGGTAACTTAATAATAATAATAATAATACATAGCTTACATAGCGCAAAGCTTCTCAAAGATCCAGCGGCGCTTTACATGATAGTGATAGAAAAATATAATCAATTAAGAATTAAAGTGAATTAAAAAACTAGTGAAAAATCGGTAAAAACAAAAGCTATAACTTCCTAAATAAATGGGTTTTAAGTTTAGACTTAAATGTTAATAAAAGGTCCACTTGCCTAATATCATCCGGCAGGGCGTTCCACAAAGTAGGAGCTCTATGAGAGAACGTTCTGTATCCGAATGTTTTAAGATTGCATTTAGGTACCATTAACTGAGTTTTTTCTTAGAAGATCATAGGTTTCTATTAGGAATGTACGGTCTTAACGGTTCACTAAGATACAGAGGACTCAGATCATTTAATACTTTAAAAACGAGTAGAAGTATCTTAAAGTCAATACGGACGGACACAGGCAGCCAATGTAGGCTTCTAAGTACAAGCGTAACGTGATCATATCTGATGTTGGCTGTAAGCAGGCGGGCAGCTGAATTTTGTACATTTTGTAGTCTATTAATTTGTGACTGCTGTAGGCCAGATAGGAGAACGTCACAATAGTCCAATTTCGACGAAATAAAGGTATGAATAAGTATTTCACACTGACGGTGCGAAAGGAACTTTTTAATTTTAGCTATGTTACGAAGGTGGAAAAAGGCAGTTTTACAGATTTTATTTATTTGTTCATCCATAGAAAGCGTACTGTCAAGCCAAACACCAATATTCTTGGCAGATTTACTAGCTTTAATAATGTCAGCTCCGATCTTGATCGAATCTAGTAGAGGTTGAGGACGATGGCGAGCAGTCAGGACAAGGAGCTCTTTCTTATCTCCGTTGAGCTTAAGTTTGTTCGCAACCATCAATAGTTGGACATCTTGAATCCATTCTTCAATTAGTGATTTGGACTGTAAAGTATCTGAAGGGTTGAATGTCGTGTATATCTGCGTGTCATCAGCATAGAAATGATACCTCATACCGTGACGTTTGATGACATCTGCAATCGGGGCCGTCTACATAAAGTACAAAATCGGTCCTAACACAGAGCCCTGTGGAACACCACAGGAAAGCTTGTGCTTAGATGAACAATCATTCTCCACTCTGACATATTGGAACCGATTTGAGAGATAAGAGCGCACCCGTAGCGACACTTAAGTCGTGTGAGTAATATTTGATGGTCGACGGTGTCAAAAGCCGCTGAAAGATTTAGATTTTAGATTTATTTAGCTTCGCCAACCGGCAGGGACACCGCAACAGCTTGCGCCAAATACTGCGGGCCCAATAAACCCACCCATCCCACCCCAGGGGAGGACATCCATCACACAGTAATCTCGTGTGTGGGAAATTGACGTCTCCTACCCCAACCCTGCAGGAGACGGACCTCCATTTATTCGTCCATATCCGAGACGACTAGAATATCTAACCATTTCATGATGTTATAGAAAGGCAGCAAATTCTTCTCAATTATTTTAAGACCCTGAGTGTTGGTCCGGCCGGGGCTCGAACCCTCGACCTTCCACACAACAGTCCAGCGCTCTATCCATTGAGCCAACCGGGAACAAGAACAAGAATGACACAAGCATTCTCATCAATCGCCCTAAGCAGATCATCATTAATTCGTGTAATAGCTGTTTCAGTACTGTGTCCCTTCTTGTATGCTGATTGAAAAGATTCAAGCAAGTTATTATCGTCCAGAAGGTCAGTGAGGTGCAAAGCTACTACTTTCTCAGTTGCCTTGGACACAAAGCGCAGATTTGAAATAGGTCTGTAGTTCTGATAAATTTCATGATCCAAAGAGTCTTTTTTGATAAAAGGATCTAAAACCGCCATCTTAAAAAGGGCAGGTACTAAGCCGTCCTTAAAAGAGAGATTGATCCTACTAACAAAGACAGGCAAGAGGACAGAAAAACAATCCGTCATCAGAGATCTAGGGATGGGGTCCAAGGAGCACGACTTTTTCGCCATAAACTTTATAAGTGAGCTTAGTTCAGTGGATGATATTGGAGAAAATTTACAAAGTTCAGGTCCATGAAATCTTTGATCAGCATTCATGGGTCAGCGGTAGTAGTTGGAAAACTAGCACGAATACGCTAGACCTTACTGTCGAAATAATCCGCAAACATGTTCGCAAGATTTCTGGGACAGTCATGAGTTGGTAATTTTTTAGCTGTCAGCTGGTATTTAGCATTTTTCCAAAGCAAGAGAACAATACACGTTGGTTGTTGGAGTTTTCATTAATTACGTAATTTAGATCCCAAAATCAAATGATTAGGCAACACGTAGCCAAGCCTTGTCTTCTGAAGTTCTACTACACAGAAAATGGATAATTGTAATTTTCGGTAACTTATTTTGGATGAAAAACAAACCACAAAAATCCGCAAAAATTTAATGTCTCATGGTACGAAGATATCTTCACACAGCATTTCGTCATTTTTGCCTAATCGATCTGATCGAGCTTGATCGCTGATCTAAAACGTAAGAAAATTCGTAAGTGTTTTGTATTCTCATGAAAACAATCCTCGTGTTGTCATTTTCATCACTGGTGGAATATCTTTAGGTCCTTCACACACGTTTAATGGGAACTTGGCCGAAACGTACGAGTCTGCTCTAAATAATTTTTTTTTAGCCTTTTCAAACTGAACTGATGGCTTAAAAAATGATCGAACCATTTACAGATAAGGTTTTTATTCTGAGTGAGAGATGTGAGTCTTATAGAATCAATAAACGATTTCTAGTGACGTAATAGTGACATATCACATTGAAACCTTGCGAACCTTTTACCTTGGTATCGCTGAACAACCTCTTTACACTTCATCACATCATCACCCCGTTAAAAACACATTTGCTTCCCATCAAGATGGTCTAAACACAGAGACACCCAAGGGCAGGAACTACTTTTTTTGATGATGATGTCCCTGAGTACCCTATTCCGATAGATGTTGATTAAAATTATTAGTCAATACTTCTCAGCAATTTGAATTAGCAAAAGATTTCCCCTTTATCTATGAGCTAGATGATCGAATTTGATCCGAAATTGAAAGCATAGTGTTGACGAAAGCCTTATTTTTGTACACCATAATCAACTTGATATTAGCATCATTGCAAGCTAGCTGCACGTCACTGGAAGAAACCGAAAAAACTCACATTGTCTCATGTATGGTAATTTTACTTCGTTTGTGACCTTACTAAGATTTATTTGGGTAAATGCAAACTGCAGACGGAAGACTGAGTTGACTCGACGGTGATTTACTTGAATTTGGCCAAGTGATTAGGAAACTATAAGTTAAGAGTAGAGACGGGCGGCCCAATTCAACGGTAGGTATTTGCATATATTTTTTGTTTATTTATATTTTCACCAAACCATGGCTATCAAATAACCGAGTTCAAACCCATGACAGAATTTTCATTGCAGACAGCCTGTGGACATTCTTTTCCTCATTCTGTATCATAATATCATTCATTCGCATGATATCACCACTCCCCCAAAAAGACAATATAAATGATGAATGCCGATCTCACCACGACTCAGTTCATTGTCGGAGATCATACGATCTGTGGTTCATATCGTCTTAAGGTTCGAAACAAATGAACTAATCAGCGCTATTTCATTTTTTGTACTAAAAAATCTGCTAAATTTTGGGTCCTAGGAAATATTTCTGGAAATTCAGTCACCACTAAATGTTTCACACTGTGAATTTTTTATTGTTTAAATACAATGAGTGCATGTTTCACGATTCTTGACATGCGTTTCTATTATATCATATTTTGTCAAAGTAGTATCGTCACCCTCCCCCAAGTGCGCGCTGCGAACAAGAAAAAAATATTAAAAAAACCTCGGCGATCTTCCAATGATGGGAATGCTAGTTCAGGACATGTAATGTTTAAAGAATGGATAAATGCGAAAGTTTCGACCCAAGCCGAGATTTGTATGAACTGTGTGTTACGTCAGTTGTCGCTTGGGACCCAGTTGTTCGAAGGCCGACGAGCGCTAACCAGCAGGGATAAATTTTAATCCAGGTTCCTATAATTCTCTGTTCATAAGCCGCTTTGGAATAATTTTCCCAATTCTTTCTAGAGCATTCAGTCATCAAATTCTAGACATATGGAATTAAACTGAATTTTCTTTAAACGTTTTCAGATCTGAAATCAATTTCCACACTAAACCTGGGTTGTCTTGATCCACCTTTGAACAACCCGGCTGGCCCTGATCTTATCTTGAGTATGAATTTGTACCAGCAAATGAGTTAATTGCTGGCGTTCCCATTCATTTGCCGCTGGTTTACCCATTATTCACTACAAGAGCGGTTGTAACGCCATCCTTGCTGTTTCGTTTGTGTTAAGCATCGCAAGATGCTGTTGATTACGCATAAGGGACCTTTTTCAAGCTCCTGATGGAGTGGATCGTTTTAGAATGCTACCAATCGTACGTATGGAACTCCAACTTACCTGACAGTCTTTAACTGTCCTGTACGGCCCTATGTACGATTAGGTTATACTTATTTTTGAATATCTAGTACAGTTTTGATGCCGATCTTGTCCTCGCTTTCTATGACAAGGGATTTTATTGTGCTAGAAGTATGGTTTCTTCAACGTCAGTTTTCTCGAACCTCTTCCCCCACCATGAAGGGCGGTTGGTATAGCAGTAATTAAATTTCCGCTTTTAGAAAAAGAGAGGACCTGGTAGCGTTGGTAATATGATGTTTTCGTTAACTGTCCTATAGATGCACAAGATTGTCATTCATCCCGATTTCTTTTCAGATGGTTGACGAGCTATTACCAAGGTTTGCGCATGAGAATTTTGGCCATGGATATTACACTGCCGTTCCTGGCGAAATTGAGAAAGTACAACCCCTGGCTCTGGTGATAAAAAAGGATCCTCCACTGTGGAAGCGACGTTTTAAAAAATCGAAAATCATAGTCCAGGAAGGACTAGAAAAGTTTTCTGACAGTGAAGAGGAGGCTTTTGAGTCGCGTGAATACTTCAAATCTAAGGTCAAGGAAGAAATGTTTCAATCGAAACAAAAAATTGACGCAGGAGCCAGGTATGAGAATGCAGTTAATTGTTCTTTTTATACCGTCAGTGTACGTGAAAAATCAAGGTAAAAAAGAAAAGAAAACTCGCTGAAAAGAGCATCTAAACAGAAATACGACTTTGTGTTTCATCCACATTTGGCCTTTTTATGGCAAAAGGATTGAGATAGGACTGCCTCCTCAGCATTTCCACTGTAGTAGTCATGACTAAGTCTCAAATGATACCAATCACTTTATAGTTAAAATTCCGGTTTTGCATACATCATTTCATCATTATGGTTACCATTATGGTTATAATGACTATTCTTCTCATTGTCACCATAATAATTAATAATATTACTGTTAACATTCTTTTATCCTTCTTTCTACCATCTATTATCATTTTTATAATAATAATAATAATAATTATTATTATTATTATTATTATTATTTTTATTATTATTATTATCATAGCTATTTTCATTTTTGTTCTGTAAATTGTAGAACTAAGGAACTGGACGCCAGCTTCGTAGGACATCTCGAGGGAACTATACGGTTAAGTTATGACCAAGGAGTTCTACAGCTGGGTAAACTGAGTCAGAAATATATTGACGATCCAGATCTTCGTGAAATTCTGACGAAAATATCCTTAGATGCCGACAAAATGAGTAGATTTGAAGAAGGCGATAAGCTTCTTCTCATAACAGAGGTGATTTATAGCGGGAAATTCGAACTGACAGGAGGCAAAAAAAGTGAGGTATGAATTAACAAAGTTTCAATAAAATGCCTTCAAATATTTGTAAGTCATATAGGTCAACTGCGTATGAAGAAATAAATACGAGAGTGATCTTCCCAGCAAAGAACACTACCCAAGTAGTAGGGAAAATAAGGCCTCAAAAAAATATTCAGGCGTATTTCACTACTTTTGGCGAGAAAATATGAACTGTATTTTCTTGTGTTTAGGTAGTGATGATCGTTGCGAACTCAAGATCGCTCTCACATCCAAAGCTTTAATTGTATCTTAGCTTCTTTTAAACCTGGAAAAAAGTTTCACAAGTAACTGCGCTAATTTAACGATCAGTTTATTCGTTGTTTCTGTTCCTTAACTTGTTTTTCGTTTTCACTTAGTAACTTGTATGCAAGAGAGAAGCAATCTCTTAATTAGGAAGGTGGCCTATAAGTGAGGCTTGCTTGGGTTAAAAGTCCTGGACCTAAGCTTGGCTAGGATGGCATTAGACTCTTACAGGCCTCTCTCCTCCCAGCTTTAATGGAAACCGCCGAACCCACATCAGGAAATGCAGGAGGATAAACTACGACTAAGAGAAGCCAGGCAATACTCCTGGTGCTCTTCATAATCCGTAAACCGCTGGGGGATGCTCTCTGATAAGATGGGTCACTAGATCCGTAACCGGAACCCCGAAGAAAAATCAGTATTTCAGTGAGAAAGTCTTGGTCAGTCTAGGTCACCTAATTTGCGAATTTCTATTTTATTTACCAGTTCCAGGCTGCACTTAAACCGCCGGAATCGTCAGTGACTCGAAACCATTGGGCAACACGACGCAACAGGGTCACAAAGTATTTTGAAGAAATACCGCGCAGGGACTCAAAGGCACCGATTTTATTTAGGTGCTGCTATGTCAATTACATCAAAGAAGAAAACCGACTGGAAATATCGAAAGGAGAATTTGTCGGTAAATCAGTGCGTTAAGAAAGGTCAGGCGACGGGTTTCACAAGGAAGACTGAGATATGCCCTGGCTTTTGATGTAAAGGAAGCAAAATTATCAGTCTGCGTGCTTTTAACATGTATTTTTCATGCTATGTCTTTGAAAGACGGAGGTACCTGACAAGTGCCTAAACTGCAGTCTTCAAAGGGTAAATTATCATTAAGTCAAGCACGAACCTCCGTTTTCAGTGCCTGATTTTTACAGTTTCTGTGGTCAGTTTTAAAGATGAATGCTAAACCAATGGAAGGATGTACAATTATGGCCTAATAAACAAAATAGATAAAAGAAGAAAATGATAACATTACTTTACCCCTACCTCAGAGGGGCTTTTTAGGGACAATACAAAGAAGACTGAAAAAAAATGTAAACAAACATAAGGTTTAACTAAGTGTATTCGCAGGAGGCACACAAATTGGCTCTAAACAAGGGGCAGTTAATGAGTTGAACTTGGGGGAACAGAGAAGAAATCCAGAAAGTAGCCGTGCGGGAGGGCTTAAACCCGAAACCTTCAGTTTGTGGGAGTAAAATGTTCAGCACATAAAAATGACATCGATTGGTCCGAGCAAATTCATAATGCAAACAAAAAGGACTCAGGCTGAATTACGAGAGCAACAGCTGGTGCACGGCTGCTGCCTTACACTTAAAAAAAAAAAATTACCAAACGCGAAGGGAAAAAGTCTTCCGGTCCACCAGTATAGCTGTGTAAATTCCTGACTTAAATTTTAACTCCGACTTTCTACATATTGACAAAGATAGAATATTACATCAGCAATGAAATTCGCAAGGTTGGAAAGGGATAAAACGTTTCTCGACCTTACCTAAGACCGGGTGTAACTTATACTGAAACATCTTAAAGAAGAGGAATTCGCATGGATATACGTCATCAAGCAGGACATTTAGGCGATATACAAAGAGGAATACCAACGTTTGGTCTAAAAGCCACACTGAGCTTGCAAAGCTTTTGAATAAACTCCGCTATAGATACCCATGATAAGAAATTTGTGCTGACTGCATCAAACTATTATCCATCCAGCTAATTTCTGTCGTCCATTCCATAGCATTTTAGCCTTCACCCAAGTACACCGGCAATTATTAATCAAGTCATTATTAATCGGACACTGGCGGGAGAATGTCGCGACTGCACGTTCCCATTTTGTTTAGTTTCTATTTGTATATCTTTCCTTATTTGCACGCATTGCGTGCCACTACATTTGTGACGCTTTGGTCATTTCACTTTTTTACGAGACCTCGTAGCTGAAAAAAAAAATTGATTACAGAACCAGGATGAAGCCCTTAATAATATTTGTCACATAAAAATTCTTCATCACTGAATAAGATGTCAAAATACAACTTTATAAACTTTTTAGAAAACTGTTCGAGTGCTTGTTAAAGAAAAATATACAAGAAAGCAATGTAAAAGATTTTCCTGGAAGTGGACCGTGTTAGAATTTTGTGAACGTGATCTGGCGATACTAAGCGTGTGAGTGTGACTCACGCGTGACGCACTGAAGCACGCGCGCTCAGCGTCGGGGCTAAACGACCTTGTTTTTTGCTTGAAGGAAATCCTCGCTTGGTATTATGCTGTAAGTACTGTGCGCGTTGTGAAATTAAATGTTCATATTGAACCTAATTTACTTTTCCAACAGACCCCCTGAGCTATGAACTGATACAAAAAGTTCATTTCCAGCCTTTCATTCACCATAATCTGAGTACAGTGGCTCACACCGACTTTGATTCTTTGACATAATTGAAAATAGTCAATTACTTAACAGTGCCCGATCTCAACGGCACCCATCCAAAAAATAACTCTTGTATACATAGAGCGCCTATGTTTTGTGAAGGATCCAGGAGGCAATTCGAAAAGTACAGAGATAATGGAAAGTCATTTAAAATGTCCTTGCTATCTCAGGTTATCACTGGACAGTTAAAGAACACTTTCAGCCTCAACTGTTAGTGCAGTGTACTTGCAATTTTGGCAGAAATAAAAGTTAACAGTACTTTGTTTTTGTTCAAAAGGTTTTTTTACACGATTCACAACTGTCAGTGACGATTCATCATCATCAGTCTTCTTCGTGCTCTGTTGCGCATAAGGCCTTGATACTTCTCTTCCATCGGTCCCAGTCTCTTGCAATAATCCTCGCTTCTTCCCACGACTTCCAACTTGCCTCACTTCTTTCCTTTTCAATCGATCGCCTCCAAGTTGTTTTGGGCGTGGCCACCTTTCTCTTACCGTCTGGTGACCATGTGAGGGCTATTACGCAGTGGTGGTCTTGCGGCATCCTCAAGACATGTCCAAGAAACTTCCACCTCCTTCTCCTGACTTCTGTGCTCATCGGCGCGGATTCAGTTTCTCTTTGTAATTCCTCCTTTCAAATGATGTCCGGCCAAAATATACCTTGAATTCTCTTCAGGCACTGGTACTGAAAGGAATCAAGTTTCTCGTAATCTTTAGCATTTGTCTTCCATGTTTCACTTCCATACTAAAGGACCGGTTTCACGGGGGTGTTGAATAGCTTAATCTTGGTCTTCTTACTATATTGCTTGGAGCTCCACACTTTTCTCAACTTTCTGAATGCTGTCTTGGCCTTACAAAGTCGCTTTCTATGTCCTTATCTGCTCCTCCATCCGCACTTATACATGCTCCAAGATAAGTGAAGTCGTTTGTTTCCTGGATGTCTTGACCACTTTGGAATTTGATCGAGTTGTTGTTCTTGCTATTAATTTTCAGTATGCGTGTTTTCGATTTGCTAATGTTGAGTCTCACTCTCTGAGCTGCCTCTGTTAGCTTATCTGTCTTCTTTTGCATCTGTCCGTGATTGGTTGAGATCAGAGCGATATCATTCGCGTAGTCTAGGTCTTCTAGCTGACCGGTGAATTTCCATCTGATGCCTGTCTTTGCTAGATTGGTTGTCTCTTGCATTATCCAGTCGATGGCCAGGAGGAATAACAAGCCTGACATTACACAACCTTGCTTGACGCCAGTTTTTACTTGGAATCATTCGGATGTTTGACCTCCATCAAGGACTGCAGATTTGGAATCTTGGTAAAGGAGTTGGATTATTCTGATGAGTTTACTCGGTATTCCATATAGCTTCATAATAACTGTCAGTGACGATTACTGACACACAAAGGGTTAAGGCTTGTGAAAGAAATCAAACACTGAGCTAACATCGGCGACGCACTTATGAATTGAATAAAGCGTAGGAACTTGACCAGCCGCCTCTTGTAAACAAATTCCATCCAAAATCCACTATTATCCAATACTTTAACACAGCCTTTAATTTAAATTTCGCTTTCAGGTTTTCAAAGGCTAATCAAATGGCGGCAAAGAGTTATAGTTTTCATCAGAAATTCGTTTCTCTGCTTTATCTCAACCAAAACTTTCGTTTAAGGGCTCTTTTTAAAGCTTTTAAAACGCTTCTCAAGACTAAACCGAAAGTGAAATCGTTAATTTAGCGCAAGGCGTTCAGTTGCAGAAAAACAGAAGGTGATATTTTTGGTAAACGCGAATTAAATATAAACAAAAGGATACTAATTTAATGCCACGCAATTAGCCCGCCTTGTTAAAGCCTTTCGAAAAAGAATAAGAGCTTCTCCGCCCAAAAGTCGCAAGTTCTTCCATCAACAGCCTTTATACTCTCATCGGACAAAGGCCGAACGCGTGCGAACGGCTCTCGAAAATGTTTGTGAGCCCTTGTGGTAAAAATGGCAGCGGCTACCTCCATTTCAGAAAGACACACTTAAACCGTCGTGAAGTTGTAATAGACCACTTTCATAAATGGCTGCCGGATTAATATTCTTTTGTTTAAATTTAGATTAGCCCTTCTGGCCTCGCTTGAGATAATGTCTTCTTTTGAATTTTGTACTGGAGAACGGGGCCATAAAGGCTAATTTAAATTTAAACAAAAGAATATTAATCCGGCCGCCTATTATGAAAGTGGTCTATGTCAATTGGGGGATTATTAGCTGATCCAATACCAAATTCTCTCATCTAAAATTATAAGAATTGTATGGCAGACAGTAAGGAGAGTTACTATTGAGATCTTGGGTGTGTAAGGGTTAAGTCAAAAGGGAACTTTGACCCTCCATATTATACGCTGCCTATTTGAGGAGATTGTTACAAGGGCCATTTTGCCTTTTTGCAGCAGATAAATCTATATCAATCACTTAAAAGAAATAACTTAGCTCTTATCCTAGAGGCTCAAACACTCTTTAGGAACATGAAAATATTTGAACAGCAACGACAACAACAACAACAACAACAACAACAATTTATTCTTTGATTTTTATATAAAAATAACAGTGGGATTGTTTGCCCCTCAAAAAGCTAGAAAGCTAATCATGGTGGGGCAAGACAAGTACCTGAATAACATAAATCGTCTAATATCTTAGGACAAGGAGTCGTTATTTACACAGTCACACAGAAAAAGATAAGAATCAAGACATTTCAACCTAGAAGGTGTGTCTATGTACCTACTTTTTTAATGATCATGGGGATTTGAATGTAGTTATGTTCTTTTTCTAAGATATCAAAATGATGGCAATTTGTGAAAAACTTTTTTGGAAAGCTTTCTTTGGGAGATCCATTATACAGCTTGGTATCTTATTCCACAGCTTTACCCCGATCCGAGAGAAGGAATTGTTTTGTATTTCTAGTCTCGAACTTTTGACATAAGACTTTCCAGACGTAAGCGATCGTGTATTGTATGAATAAATATTAGACGTTTTCTGAAATAGATCACTCATATTCTTTTCCAATGAAATCTAGACAAAACTTACAAAATCATCATTGCTAATTTACTGTTGCTAATAAAGTACTGACTTAACTCACACAATGCATTTATAAGCTACTTGAGGCAATTTGTGTAGGGAGAAATAATGACAATATCTTGAATAACAGCTTGCCATGCACCATAAATGTCACCGCCATCCAATGAGTGTCTCTAGTACTAACTATTGGGTAACCTCCTTGCATCTCCCTTACCAACAGAGAACATAAGAGTTAATTCCTATCATCAATCTCAAGAATTAAGAATTTCATGATTAAGACATCTATCGTAGCGTGAAACTGATTTGAATACATTAAGCTGAAATCAACTTTGAAGGAGGCTTGATGGTGTTTTTTGACAATGGAGATCTGAATGCGATCATATCATGAGCTATAAGTGTCAATATGCAAAACAAACATGGCAGCCGCTCCACACAGTCTCATGATTTAAATTTGAAAGGGCTTATTAGTTTAATGCAGAGATTTGGAAAATTTTCGGAAACTTCATTACCATTGCTCTTTCTTGTTTTTGTTGTGATAAATAGATACACTGCGCATGCCCAAGAATGCTGAGTGTTCCTGCTGCCTGTGATTACTGCGTTTTTCAATTTGCTAAGGTAGTGGATCGGGGGTAGAAAACATTTGATACATTTTGCACTGTATATCGAAAATGATTGTTGCGTTTCCAGAGCGTAAACGCCGTTTTCAAATTATGTAGCATAGTGCGGATGAGCTTCAAAAGTATTCGATGATCTCACCTGGTGCATCGGTCTCGTCTCCCTAAACGGGATTCTTGGTTGTTGTGTCACAGGTTACGACCTCACCAACAAATTCACCTTTTCTGATTTCCAGTCGATTTTCTCCTTTAATGTAATCAACATTGCAACACTTGTAGAGGAGTGGTGCATTTGCAGTCCTTGATGCTAGCTCTGAAGGATGGGTTGACTTAAAAAATTGGGAAAACGGACTCAACACAGAAGGCCCATCTACCGTGACTTCAGCTGCGGTCTGGAGCAAAGTAAATAAAAGTGAGTTTTATAATAAAGTGGCAAACCTGTGTTACTTAGTTACTTACAGATTAACAAATGGTAAACACCACAGCGTACACTATTCAGTTATGGATGCACGCGGGAAATTGCTATGCGCGAAAGAAGCGTAAGAGTCGCACGAGCCGGTAGCTGAGAGCGACTCTGGCTTCTTGAGTGCTTAATAAACCTCCAAAGTGATAACATTGACATGTTGTAACAAAAGAGTTTCCTTTTATTTAACACTGAAATCTTACGTGACCAGAAAAAACAAGCGCGCGGAAACTATAGTCTTTGCATTTGCTTACTTCAGCAGCGCACACTCATGGGCAAATGGTGGACACTGAAGGGACCAATCAGAGCGCGCGCTTTACCTTGGTTATGTTCTAAAATTAGATAGAAGTGAGGGAGAGGAAATCGTCAAAGCATTTCCAGAAATGGGAGAAACCCTGTCTAACTTAATTTTTTTGTTCGTAATTCAAATTGGTCTTCAGTGTTGTAACAGTGTCATATCCGGAACCTCGTTTCTACATTGTTGAGTGGAGATAATAAACTAAAAAATAATCTTTGTAACACTTTCATTTTGATGTAGGGTAATTTGTAGGTTAGTATTACGTACTAATTTCTAAAGTCAAAGAATACACCAATTACAAAATCGCAGAAACGCAAAAAGGTTCTAGGTAGGTCATATCTCGGATTTCAAATACTGTTACATTCGCTTGATTGTCTAATCAGTTCTGAATAGTCAATAAAGTCAATTTATCCATTCAATGAACGTTCCGTTACTAATCCAAAGGTACAATTGAAGTAAAGAAGAATTTTGGAAAAGCTTTGTTCGCTAATGTCTTATAGACCAGCTTATAAAAGGTTTCATAATCTTGGTAAGGAACCCACACAAACAAGCTTGAACTTACTAGAAAGCAATGTATATCAAGCGGTAAGGATGGTGAGGGTAAACTAAATTACAAATAAACCTGTTATTAATTTTGTTTTGTTTTGTGTTGTTTATTTTGAGCTAAAGAAAAGTAGCACGCATTTTTAACAATATAGACATTACCTCTTGTTTTCTCACCCCAGTTAGTTCGAACTTCTCGCTGTAAACCACAGATGTGATGAGAAGCAGTTTATATCCTTCAGCGAAACTCTTCATCATTTTACGATCCATTTCACTCCTTGCTAAAAGGTCTCGGAGATCTGGATCATCAATGTATTTCTGGCTTAGTTTTCCCAGTTTTATAACGCCTTGATCATTGCTTAATCGGATGGTTCCCTCCAAAATTCCTCCAACACCCACACCAAGGTTTCGTTCACTAAAAATAAAAAAATAAAAAAAAACATTTTATGTAACTCAAAATCATATGATATATGGATGTTGTTTCACAAAAACTTTAGCTATATGGCTAGCTATGTCGACTGGCAATACAGAACAGCATGTTTGAGTGGCGGCTCTATAAGCCGATTCCACTTGCTCAGGATTGCCCGTCTTAATTCCACGAGGAAACAGTCTAGTGAGCAACTTAAATGCCTAGTTACCACTGGGTACCAGTTTTTTTCAAGGCGGAAGTTCTATAAAGTTTAATTGAGCAACAGAAGAGTCACCAAAACATTTTAAGAAAGTCAGGAAAGTGATAATCACAAGTTTCGGGAATTGCGTGATGGTTTTGGGAACGGCGTAATAGTTTTGCCATAAAATATTTCGTTCAGCAAATGGTACAACCGCACCTTTAGTGAAAAAGACTGTGAGAGTGACTAAGACACAACAGTTACAATGAAAACAAAAACAACAATGACAGTGACAGCGACATCGAGGATGGCAACGAAAATAATAATGACAAATACAATGATATTAAACAAAACAATGGCAATGACACCGACAACGACTATAACAATGACAAAGACAATGATGATGACAATGACAATGATGACGACAAATACAATCACATTGACCAAATAAATGGTAATGAGAACGACAATGACAACGATAACGACGATAATAATGAGAACGACACTGAGGATGATAGTGACAATGATGACGACAAATACAATGACATTGACCAAATCAGTGGCAATAACAACGACAACGACAGTAACAGTGACAACGACATGATAATGACGATAATAATGAGAACGACACCGAGGATGATAATGACAATGATGATGACAAATACAATGACATTGACCAAATCAGTGACAATGACAACGACAACGACAGTAACAGTGACAACGACATGATAATGACGATAATGATAATAAAGATGATGAGAAATACAATGACAATGAACAAAACAATGGCAATGACAACGACAACGACAATAACAGAGACGATGACAATGATGATGACAAATACACTGACATTGACCAAATAAATGGCAACGACAACAACAATGACAACGACATTGATGAGGACAATGACAATGATGGTGACAAATATAATGACATTGACCTAATCACTGGTAATGAAAACGACAACGACAGTAACACTGAGAACGACAATGAGGATGATAATGAGAGTGATGATGACAAATACAATGGCATTGACCTAATCAATGGCAATGACAACGACAACGGAAATAATGAGAACGACAATGAGGACGATGATGTCGATGACGATGACAAAGACCTTGACAATGATAATGACGACGAAAATAATAGCGACAATGAGGATGGTAATGACAAACATAATGGCATTGACCAAAACAATGGCCATGACAATGACGACGCGTTGACAAGGATAATGACCACGACAATAACAATGAAACAGTGATAATGACAGTGACGACAACACTGACAATGACAATGATGATGACGATTTAGTACAATTTCACCCGCAGTAACTCGAACCCTCAAAAACTCGAACCTACTGCTTACCTCGTTTCCCTTCAGTTCATTCTCAATATATATTTTTACCCTTTACAACTCAAGCCACGTCGAACCACTTCTGACAGTACGCATTAAGTCAGGACAAAAAGTGCAATGCAGTTCAAAAAACTAAATTATTTTTAAGCAGCTTTGTAGTCTTTGAATTTTTATTTCAACGTGCTAGTCCAGTTCAGGTTTCGTTGGTTTCGGGTACATTAAAAATATAATTTTCGTTACCTTCTGATATCTAAAGTAATTTAGTGTTCCATTTTGACTCGACTTCTCTATGGTCAAATTTGATTAAAATATATATACTGTATGAATAGAACAAACAGTGAACACCGTTTTTTCCTTCGTTCCTGTCTTCCAATAACTCTAACGCTAGATAACCCCAACCTTTTTCAGTTTCTCTTGAATGTTCGAGTTTTAGGGAGCCGACTGTATTATCGTTATCATCATTGAAAGAGTGACTGAAAGGCGTTTAAAGAATGCACCTTCAGGAACCTCGTTAGAATGTTAAATGACAGAACAGTATCTGAGGCTTTCCCTTATTTACTTCAACTCTTCTTCCGGTGAAAAATAATTTGAAGGCAATAACTATGCCAGGGCTAAATTGCAATTTTGGCTGTTTACTTGCACGATAATCTCACCAATACATTAGCTTGTCTTATCATTAAACAAACGCTGTTAAAGATGCAACATACTGATCACCAGGCAACAAAAATTGGGTCAAAGCGTTATCATACCTGGCTTCCAATGCAATGGTTTCGTGCTGCTTTAAAGTAACAATTTCCTCTTTGATCTTAGATGCCAAGCATTTGCGAAACTCCTCAGACTCTTCGCTTTTAACGTATTTCGCCAGTTCTGCAAGGACTATGACTTCCAATTTTGCGAAAGGTCGCTTCCATAGTGGCCGATTCTTTTTAACCACCAATGCCAGGGGTTTTACTTGTTTGATATCACCGTGAAGGGCGGGGAACCATCTATGGCTGAAATGTTCTTCGGCAAACTTTCTTAGTGACTCCTCCCTGATCTAAAAACAAATCGAAAGTAAATCCATAGTCAGCTCACTCTGTATTAACCATTATCCTGATCAGACCCATAGTGGGTACTTTCATATCAAAATCATCGGGATCTGTGGAACTCTTTCAGTAAAATCTTTAAGGGAGACTAGTTGGCCATTTTCGATGTATTAATAATATTCTAAGATGGCTTCCAGCTCAGGGGAATAAAACAAAAGAAATTAGCTATTCATTCCTCAACCTGGATGTGATTTCTTCTGTTTTACTCCCCCAAGCCTCGAAGCCAAGTGTGACTGAATTTGAATATATCAAAAATGGCCTATTAGGTGTTACCCCGAGCTCCACCTGACAACCAAAGGACGTTATTTCGAAACATCTACCGTCAGAGCTAGTTCACTGAGCCAAAGTGACTCTAATTTCATAATTTTTCCCAGCCATAAACATACCTAATTTACAATAAAATATTGCCACTGATATTGCCAATGAAAACTCTAAAAGAAACTCTAGTATGTGATATGCACCTGAGACGAGACCAGGCCCCGTAAATGTTGTTTGTTAGACCGCAGCCCTTCCTCGATGCTCATGATCTCGGGATAAAAGAAATTATGGGATGTATGTCGATAGAGGGCCTAGTTGTCGAGAGGGGGCTGGGGAGGGGAGTGAAAAAGCTTTAGAAGCCAAATAGTCCATGCATGAATGCCACTGTTCCGTGATTTCTGCATGAAGAGGCGGTAAGGAGCTTTTTTACTCTTCCTGAATGAGATGTGAATTCATACAAGGTTACTTCTTCACCATTCTGTCGGATTTATTTGTCAGTTGCTTGGAACCAGTCATACTTCGGGGTAACGACAGACATTTTGTAAGCATTAAGGGCGCGGGGGGGGGAGTCTTACAGAAGGCAAGAACATAATGACTTGGCAAATGTTTGGATCTACAGCTTATGAATCGGATTCCAGGGCCTGATTGGATCGAGGAGATAATAGGGAAGTAAATCTGCAAATGTCGATGGTCAATCAAAATTTTACAACATTATTCATTTAGAGTTTGGGACGTTTAACAGTAGTCGGTTAGTTCGAGCAGACCCTCTGATTGATTAATCAACCATGGTTTCAATTCTTCTATAAAAAGTAAGCTTTTCACGGCCAAAAAGAAAACTATAGTATCAATAAGTTTCCAAGGTTTTTTTTTATATCAGTTTTAGTAATGGACAACGAGAATATCTAATTGGAATAGATCGAAATGGAACGTCACCTTTTTCATTTTCTTTGATAAAGGAAACAAAATATTAAAAATAAAACAAAAAAAAAACAAAAAAAAAACAGAAGATAGGGCCAACAGTGAGCGATTGATCTGGAAGCAGATGAAGTTCAAACCCTCACACCCAAAAAAAGGGTTCGAGTAGTGTAGGTAGTCTGGCCTGGCATGACAATAGAATATACTTAACAATAGAATAGATTAGAATTAAATGGTTGTTAAAACGGTCGTGTCCATGGGTACCGAGTAGCCGAACAGCCGAAGACTGAGCCGAAGTAGAGAACCGAAGATTGAGTAGTCGAAGTGGAGCCAAAGTAGAGAACCGAATATTGAGTAGCCGAATAGCCGAAGTAGAGCCGAAGTTATGTGTGTATGTGATGTGTGATGTGTGATGTGTGATGTGTGAGGTCAAATTAAGACAGTTCTCGGAAAAGAAATTCTTAGTCTTTCGTAACGTACAACCACTTCCATTTTGCTGATCAGAACGGAATATGGAACAGCAATCGCATAAAAATCTACCCTGTGTGATATGAGCTATCTCAACAATTAGTTCTCTGTTCATTTGGTAGACCTCTAACTGGCCTTTAGTAATATCGCCAAACCTAAGGTTAATTTCATTAGTTGGAATTGGAATGCCAAACTGGTCTAGTTGATAATGTCTAGAATTTGTTTCGCCACTCTTTCCGTAAACGTTCCAAACAAAAATGGTAAATTAAGAAAAATTTAGAAAAATTCTCTCCCCTGAGTGATATGAACTTAACTGATTATTGGCGGAATTTTGTGTATGAATAGATGAGTCTGGTAAATCGCTGCTTTTGTTATAGTGTGTCGTATGAAAATGCCGAAAAAATGTCACAAAAGAGGAAATTTTTTTTTATGGCGTGGAATGTTCTGTACCGCCTCGTTACAGCCATAGCTGAAGGAGGAATTAGGTAGGGAAACGGCTTAACTCTCCTTAAAAAACTTTGTTACATTTTACAGAAATCAATGATCATTATGTTCAAATTTAACACCTACCTTTTCAAAGTAGGAAGATTTAATCGTTCTTTTCTGGATGGCTCCAGCTCTGGTTATCGTGGGTAAACTCATTACTCAATGATGATATCAGCTCAGAACATGCGAAACAAACAAAAAAAGAAAAACAGCTATAAACGGGATATATACACATGATCATCTGACAATCTTTATTTCGGTTTCCTTCGAATCAAGTCGACTACTGATTTAAGATTCTGACAAGATAATGAAGATGATTTTGAAATACCAAAATAAAGTTTTCATCGCTCCTTTGGTATCATTTTCGTGGCGATTGCGTTATTGCAGATCGACTTTTATTATTCGCATATCAGCATTTTAGCTCGTAACCGCGCTTTCATTTCACCAATAACCCGGTTTTGTTACGCTTTGTTTAAACTGTTTCAAGCTAAGTATCTGATATTATAACGCCGGCAAAAACAAACGCTAATACAATTGAACCAAGAATAGAACTGAAACAGAAAAAAATCATTATCCAATGATGGTGGGTGTTATTCTCAATGCGCGGGGGTTGTGTGACAGATATATTCGCAGACATACGTTTACGACGGTTCGCGGTGAAACCTTCCAAAACATTTTACAACTTCCGAAAGGATTACAACTGCAGGAAGTATTAGAACTACATCCGAAAGAGTAACAACGTCAAGATCACCATAGTAATGAAATGAAATCATAGATGTCTGACCTTAGAGACAGAATCATGAACCTTTTTTATGAGAATAACTTGATTATGTTGAAAGGAAAATAACTAAGTCAGGAGGTAGTGCATCCAAGCGTAGTTTACAGTGCAGCTATTTCAATCTGATAATCGCACTGATCTATCAAAACTGATCACTTCAGGAGGAGAAAGCTATTCTTTTCCCAAATTGGAATAAAACTGAACAAAGATAATGTCACATCTTTTAAAGAGTACCTAGTCCCCTTCTTAGAGAGTTAAAAGAAAAACACAACATCATGATGTCAGTCAAAGAATTAAATGACGACCTGTTCTGAGGTATAAAGCCAAACGCATGAAATCAGCTTATTCAACCGTCAAGTTGGTCAGTTTCTTAATTTCTAAGGCGCAACGCATGTTCAATTCTATTAAGGCGCAACGCATCCTTTCACTGGATGTTAGTCCATCATTCTGCCTTCGGTTTTCCTAACAGTTCTCCAGCACCTATTCATACTGATTGGTGAAGGAAGCCAGGTCAGTGAGAGTGACATGGTGTATTGTTCTATCACTAAAACCTCGGCCCGGAGATCTGGACCGCAAAAACTTAACTTCAACAAGAGTTCTTCGCACTCTAGCACTTTTTTCTAACTTCTTGAAAAACCCTTTTTTGAAAAGTCAATCATATTAGCTGCGATATTCAATTGTACCTACAGAAAAACTCTTCTTCGGTTGTATTTTTCATATGACAACCATAATCAGATTCTGTAAAAGTTATTAAAACATAAAACAAATGGCAGTAACAGTAGGAACAAACGCTCGGGGCCAATTCCATATTTTCAGCGTCTGTGTCCCCACTATATGCTGTTCAACATGCTGAACGTTATTAGAGAGGATCATTTACTGAAAGAGCTTTGAAAGTAAGAGTAGTTTGCCTTGTCAGATCTTTTAATTTTAAACAAGAATATTTGATGCCCCTGTTAACTTTTCCAACTAATTTGTACTTGTTTTTGTATACTGCATTCCTCAAAAAATAGAGACAAAACATTAGTTCTGGTGAGAGCGAGTAACTGTTAGTTTCGAAAAGCGTATCTCGTCTACATTTCCTCTTATGTACGTCTGTTAATGATTATTATTACTTCTGAATAAGTTCCTTATTTCAATCAGTTTCATTTGTGCGCGTGTATTAGATATTGCATTCCACACTTCATCGCTATAGGTTGCTGTTCATACCACCAAATTTTTGTGTGCTATTTACGAATCATCTACTATCAACGAGTTACCTACAATCGTTCGGAGCTCGACCAAAGTAAGTCTTTCTTTATTTTACATTTAAGATATTTCCCTTTTTGCTCTGTATTATTGGTTATTTCTCGCTTTCAGTTCACTTTATAATCGCTTCATTGTTAATTAGGCTAAAGTCACATTTCTCAGGGATATTTTCTTAGTTTAGTTTCTGCTGTGTTTTCTCATAATTCGAACCACACAAATTCAGCCACATACATTCAGCAACACAAATTCAGCTACAACCGTCAATGATAACTTCGCAATCTTCAATCTCTACTTCGCCCTTTTCATCTATGATTTCACACCGATCTCTTTATTTTCGTTTGTAATTTTGATTACGTACCGCATTTAATTCAACCGTGATTTCTACTATGAAAGTGTGTTCGAATTGTCTTCTCCGCTATATATTGGTAACTTTTTGAGGTTACATTAACCAATAAGATCTTGATGAGTTCCACAAGATACTATACCAGCGTTTCTTGGTATAGATAAAAACTTTTTTTTTACATCGTCAACAAAGCTCTTTGACGGAAAAAAGTATTTTTGCTGGTGCTTTCAGAGTATGACGTGAAAAGTTACCCCAGGAAGCTTTTACGAGGCGGAGATGGATGTAAACATGTTTACAAATTAGACAGATTATCGTTCAGAAAAGTCTACAAGTAATTGAGAATAAGCTTGTAGGTCCAAGAAACACTCTTCAAAAAGGGAGGTGGGAAATAGTGTGTCTGTAAATCACGACCAGCTCACCACCCTATCTACGTACTTCCAACAAACGTAGAGGTTCGTAAGAAGGTAGAGACTAGCTAATCTTGGTGGTGATGGAGGAAAATAAAAGCACCCATACCTGACGGGGGTATAGAAATGAAGGGAGACATCTTACCCAGCTTTTTAACGTTAGTCAAGTGGATGGAAACTAAGCGGGCCACAATAGTAACAAAACATTGGCGGTGAGATTGTGGTTAGCGGCTTAAAACCAACGCCTGGTAACCTAATAACAAACCAACTTGTGTATGTATTCCCAGCACCCTAATTCTCTCAGTTATTACTTATATCTACATTCGGCGATTTCTAAGAAATCGCGGCAATGGCTCTTTGAAATGAACGAAAGAGGACCCCTTTAGGTTCCAAGTCTCGCAGAGGTCTCAGAAAATTTGTCTTTCTTCCTTGCGTAAAATGGTCTCAAATGGTAACTCATTCGACCAACGAGCCAAAATGTACCAGGTCTTTACACTTCTCCACGTTAAATTTTTTCTGTGCTGCGCGTTTAGGTCCTGGTAAAAGAAGCCAGTTCTACGACATTGTGGCTGTTGATTGAGCACTAGGACTGGAGCAAATATTGAACGATTGAATGTTCATTTGACCAAAAACTGCAACTCAATTAGCACTTTGCTTTGATTCACTGCTCTTAGTGCGCTGGGTTTGTTGCTTTTCGATGCTCAATATTCAAGTTTTCTACCAGCCGAAAGACCAACCAGGAGAAAACTGAATGAGATAGCCATCACAGAAAAGTAGGACTTGCCCCTTAAGCAGACTCTGATGTCTGGAGAATTATCTATAATTCACTTCAATGCGTTTACTTAAAGCTGATATATCAACATTTCCAACTGGCTTAGGAATGCTCATAACTTTTTCGCGCTTTTCAGGCGAACGGAGGAGAGCGCGNAAATTATGGATTTGCTTGGTTTAAGGCCCAATTCTCTTTTCAAAAAGCCGACATGTTGATTTCTTCACAACATGGTAGAGATTTCGCAAAGTACACCACTGAGATTTCCATCTCGCACTTCCCCTACTTGTTATTGTTTGCCGGGTTATATAGGGGGTGAAATGACCGATGCATCCCTCCAACTGGAGGTGGCAAGGCATAATTTTCTCATTTCTCGTGCAAATCCTGTTTTACCTTGTGTACTTTTTGCAGACAAAAAAATTTCCAGTAAGAAACAGCGGAGACAGAGGCAGGTCATTGTTAATTGGACACTAGCGGGAGAATGTCGCGACTGAACGTTGCCATTTTGTTTAGTTTTTATTTGTAAATCTCTTTCCTTATTTGCACGCATTGCGTACCATTACATTTGTGACGCTTTGGTCATGTCATTTTTTTACGAGACCTCGTAGATGAGAAAGAAAAAATTAATTACAGTACCAGGACGAAGCCCTTAATAATCTTTGTCATATAAACACTCTTCATCATTGAATAACATGTCAAAATACAACTTGAGTAAACCTTTTATAAAACTGTTCGAGTGCTTGTTAAAGAAAAGTATACAAGTAAGCATTGTAAAAAATTTTCCTTCAAGTGGACCCAGTCAGAATTTTGTGAGCGTGACCTGGCGTTACTAATCGTGTGAGTGTGACTCACGCGTGACGCACTGATGGAAGCGCGCTTAGCGTCATGGGCTAGATGACCTTGTGCTTTGCTTGAAGGAAATCCTCCCTTGGTATTATGGTGTAAGTACAGTCCGCGTTGTGAAATTAAATGTTCCTATTGAACCTTGAGTGAACCTAATTTACTTTTCCAACAGACCCCTTGAGCTATGAACTGATACAAAAAGTTCATTTCCAGCCTCTCATTCATCATAATCTGAGTTTAGTGGCTCACAGTCTCTTTGATTCTTTGACAAAATTGAAAATAGTCAGTTACTCATCAGTGTCCGATCTCAACGCACCCATCCAAAAAATAACTCTTGTATACATAGAACGCCTATGTTTTGTGAAGGATGCTGCAGGCAATTCGAAAAGTACAGGCATAATGAAAGTCATTTAGAATGTCATTGCTATCTCAGGTTATTATTGAAGAGTTAAAGAACACTTTCAGCCTCAACTGTTAGTGCAGTGTACTTGTAATTTTAGCAGAAAATAAAACAGTACTTTGTTTTCGTTTAAAAGTTTTTTGACGTGATTCACAACTATCAGTGATGATTACTGACACACAAAGGGTCAATGTCAAGTAAAGAAAAGTAATATAACGTTACTACAGACGTTATCAGAGTGAAAACTTCTTTTCATTCACTAGTCTTGGATTATTATCAGATATAGTTTACGATGTGGAAATTTTCATGAAAAATTTCAATACTCTATTATGGTCAAAAACAAAACACCCACCCTGTTGCCTAATGGCATCCCTGCCTGAAGTCAAGGCAAAGAACA